GTGATACAAATCGGTCTAAAATTGATCTTTGCGTTCAATACTTGATTTGAATTATGCATCGTTTACGAGAGCGCATTCGTCACCTTTTGCTTCGCTCTTTCGCACGGCGAAACTCACGCATTGCGTATTTATGAAGATGCCTAGATAGAAGTGCATCGCAATAGGAATAATAGACGTTCTCTATCTCTTAAATGTAGTTGACATGTGGAGAAAGCTACAACGAGGAATAGAGAAGAAAAGAGACAAGTCGAAGAATTCGAGTCACACCTAGAGGACCTTCCCTAGGCGATGCAAAAAAATCGTGGAACGCAATGACGAAACGTAGGCCGAGAATGCCTCCTTCAGATTCCACCTCCTTATTTTCTTTGTATCGCAATCTTGTATATGCACACATTATTGAACTTAAAGAAAACTTTCTTTCATAATTAATATTTAATAAAAAACAACATTTTCAAAAGAAAAAATTATCAATAAAATTACTTATCAATAAAAATCTTGTTTTACATTTATATGATACTCATTAATTTATTTTTTAAATAAACATTTTTAATTGGTTGAATGGATTATTATAAAAAAAAATTAATTTATAGATGTCACATTTAGATAACAGGATACGCATTGCAGCTTGTCATTTCATGAATATTTAAATATCTTAAAAGGCTGCAAATCTTGTATGCATATACGTTGTGATGTAATAAAATTTTTCGCCGGCATGTCTTATTACATTTCACGCGCCAATGTCTCGCGAATTTCGCACAACGGGTCTCATTACTTACGTTCACTCGGCGTATGATATAATAAGATTTTTCGCCAATCCCGTGTATTACCTGCTTATCAGAAACTTGTATAATATTCTATTTATTGCAGCGATTGTGATTGTATAAATGGAATAAATTTCTTAACTGCGAAATGTATTCAATTCATGTGATTGCAACTCGCTGTTAAATTATTGAATCGGACTTGAAAATTTCAGTGAAAAGGTCAGTGAGACTTTTTGTTGAAATTTTTGGTTAATTATATTACTTAGAAATCTTGAAGAAAAAAGCATCTCTTCAATGGAAATAATTTTTTAGTGTAGTTAGTTTTTAGATAATAATTTTTTGTTTATATAGTGTAATTATTAATTTTAGATTCTAAAAATTCGAAAAAAAAAGATCAAGAAGTAAATCTATATATTTGTTACGTAAATTGAAATTAATGAAATTTTCGCAACAACAAACTTTATTTTGCTGTACGAAAATGATGCAAGCAACATTAACATTTAATGTCGCGTTGCTTCGCAGCTCAGCCACCGAAAGGACATTGTCCTTTAGAAATCATTAAGGCAAGAGAAAGGCGATTCTTCGCGACAGAAATTTCGTAATGATGTACATCGATTTTCTGGCGGGGATCCATTAATTCGCCCACGAAGGATTAATTTTCATGATTGGTTACCATATATCGCGATCGTATAATTTGCTACATTTTTATTGCATTTTTATAATTGTAACTTCTAATTAATCATTTAATTAGTTTTATTATTAACTTGGTCCCTATTATTAAATTATTTCTAATTATTATTTTTAGTCATTATTAATTATTCAGAAAAATATTATATTAAGAAATTGATTAAGTTCTAATGATTTAATTTTACTTACTTTATATTGGTAATACATTTATTACTTCATAAAATAATATCAATCTCTCCAGATTTTATGTACTTATTTCTCGATTGAAGAGATACGATGAAAAGTAAATCTGTGAACGGTGGCAATTCGAGATTAATACGTGTTGTATTGGTACGTGCAAGGCTCGAGCGACGGGCATCGTTGATCTTTCAAGCGTGCCTAATCGCAGGGTTCGTTGACTGCAATTTCCAAGCTTTTCCGGAAAGGTCGAGGCCGCCGTCATTGCGCGGCTCTAACTCGCGAATACCTTCCTTTCTCGACCCGGTAAACCTTCCGCAGCACGGAAATTATGCGATTATCTCTCTTCTCTTTTATTCTTCTAATTGTTATCGCGATCATTTCGCGCACTTTTGTAAATACGACTTCACTCAATTTCAATTTGGTTTGCTTCATCGTTACTTTCTTTGAACACTGATGGAATAGATAAAGTTTATGTGATAAAAGTAGAAATGTACAGGCAATATACTTCGAATATGATTAAGTAGTCATATTTTTCGCACTCTTTTCTTTGTCATCCATCATTCTGTCATCCATCGAGGTTTTACTCTCTCGTAGCAGCAGGGCGTGGCAGCAGGAAAGCGACAAAAAAGCATTGGGAAAGTGTATCTCTTCGTATTTACTGTCTCAATGAGGAACGAACTATATTTTCCGATGCCTTCGTAATAAATGGATCCAAAACACATTTCTATTGTGGAATCGACTTTTTAAAACTTTTAATAGTAGAATGTTCTCATTATCAATTAAAAAGTTTATTTGAATTATTTACATATTATATATTCTCTCTTTTGGAAGACAATAAAAATTTAAAGAAAATTTTTTAATATATAAGATATACAAATTAAAAAAGTTAAAGTAAGAGGAATTTCAATAATTTTTCTGTTATAAGGAAGGATTTTTCTATTATAAGGAAGAATTTTTCTTCTTAAATCATAATGTTTTGAATCGCATTCCTGACATTCGTTGATTACATATGCGATGACTTCCTGATTCTATTATCGGTTTGTTATGCTTTTCACATTTCGCCGGTATCTTTTGCTTTATATCCGACGTCGCGTATTATTATGTAATTATCAAGTTTTGCACCACCGAGTCCGAGTGAAACGTGCGAGAGGCGTCTCCCCGACCACTACTTTCGATCCTTGATCGTCCGTCTCTAAACGATTTCTCGAATTCTTTTCGGGCAAAATATCCGGTTTGATCGAAACACTTTCTTCGTTAGAGAACAAGATTATATCAGTCTTTATTTAACAGATATTTCAAAAAAACTTTTTATTGCCCTTTCCACTTAACTGAACATCGTGAAATTCATTCTTTATAAAGTTGGCAATAAAAATCTCGCTGTTATTTACACATTTACATGATCGGTACACAATTTTACGACTGCTGATGATTACATTACAGTTTCATGGTACTGCTCTTATGTAAGATTGTTGCGTGCTTATATAGTCATTTATGTAATTGTTACACAGTATAGTTCGATTTTTTTGCACTGTTTTTATATGAATCTTTGAAAATTATTGTGAGGTATTTTGAGGTATTTAAAATTATTTGAGGCATTTAAATTATTTTTTTGTTTCTTGAATATTTTTCTTTTTTATCTTTCTCTTTTTTTGATAACACAATTTTCGCCATCGATTTCTTTTGCGTGTACGCGACCAAGCGCGAAATTCCGATTATGAGAAAAGGCCTTAAAAATGTCGCTGCGGTTGGTCCCCTCTTTGACGTGCCATCTTTTCTCCCGATAATACATCGTCGGCAACGAGAGAAGCGAAAGGGAAAGAAGAGAAATTCATCGCGTAATAAATGTTGTCTTGAAACTGCTGATCATATTGATCGCACCGATTATAATATAACTCAGATAGTCAAATGTTAGCAATATTGGCAAATTGATAGCAAGTTTGATCAAGTTTGATGAAATTTTTCAAGATATTTAAAAATTATTTTTTTTTCTTTCTCGATCATACATTTTACATACAACGATTAAACAATGTATCTCAATTGGATTTGCCATTCATATGTTACTCTGAATTTAGACTTTTTCAGGCATAAAGCTTTCGATTTTGAAATTTTTAGTGTTGAAAATATTTCTAAAAAACTCGATTTAAAGATTTTAAATATTAAAAGATTTATAAATTAGATTTTACAGATTGTTGTCAAATAGCTTTGTATGTAAATTCTAATATCAATAATTTTAATGTTGGAAATTTCAATGTCTAAATAAACATTGAATGAACTTGAAGTAATATGCTAAATAGTGAGCATATCACTAACATGAATCTGATATAGCATTTATTTTTTAATTTATCAGTCGTAATGCGCATGTTAATAATTGTATAATGTGAAACTAAAACTTACATTTCATGATGGCGTGAAAATTAGGACGAGCATTATAAACTCGAGTTGTTGTTACGATCCAATAAATTCGCTAAACGGTGCAAAAGATCGCTTAGCGGAGAAACTAAAGAATCCTTTGAAGAAATTAAGAGAGATGCGTGGTAGCGCACGCTCTCTAGAGGCACAAAAAAACGCGTTGTGTTCTAATTACGTGCCGGTATATCGAACAACGTAAGATCGTTTTGATATGAGGAAATAATTATGTATATATAATATATTCCGTGATACATTTTTTTCTGTGGTTCAATTATGCTTTATTCTTAGTTATTTCTCCGATTGTCTTCTCGTTTTTATCATCTTCTTTGACTTCTTATCCTTTGGAGAACATGAAGAACGCGTGCTGCAATCTGGTGATTCTAACATAAAGTACTTAAAGTGCATGATTTCTGCAAACTATTTACCATCAAAAGAAATTTCTTATAAAATTAGTTTCTTTTTGGCAAAATTTTAAAAATGGTTAAATTGCTTTTTTCCAAAATCTATCGCAATTTAATTTTCAATTTAAATTCAGTTCTGATTTAAATCTATTTTTTATTTACTTATATTTATCTATAAAATATATTGGGGAAAAAATTGGGATTAAAATTTGAAAAATCAGATAGCTGCTTTAGCTTATATTTATTTACAGATGGGATTAATAGTTTCAATCAAAAGTTTTCGCTTTCTTTAAAATGCTATATTAAAAGATGAGTAAAAATTACAAAGAAAGATACTAAATACTATTAATTATATCTATTTATTTCATCTTAAGGTTTTGGATTATTATTTTCGCAAAATTATCTTTAAATTTGCTTATTCGTAACTTTTCAGTTATCGAAATTTCTATTAAATAATATTATTGCACAGATGGCGACAACTAATAGGAGATAATTAATATGGCAATTTGATAAAAGTTATTTTATTGAAGTTTCATCGATGCGCGTCCAAAGAGCTCGTCGATTAGCTGAAACAAAAAAATTATCTCATTAGTTTGAATGATAGTACATATTTTTATTTAATTTGTTTTTTAGTTAAAATCTGAATGTTAAATACAATTAAAGATTTTTACTGCGTGCATGTGAGAAAGATATATCTTACCATTTGGCAACGCTGAAGGCTTTGCAGGAATCCGATGGCTTATCGTACGAGAATCCCGGCGAACAGTTCACCATCTGAGGCCTGTTGTTTCTACAAACCACTACGTTGGTGCAGGCATCGTTGAGTCTGTGTATGTCACCGTTGTTACATTGAGCATTCAATAGTTCGGGTGGTATCACCTGGAATAGAGTCCACGGGTTTACCACGCTAGACGTTTCCGTCTCGTGTTGCGCGGGCTGATCGCTCAGCAATTCACTATCGATTAATAGTTGCTGTTTGCTTTTTTCTTTCTCGATTTCCAACTGAGACGTTGATGATCGTTGATGCCAGGGATCAATCCTGCTTAGCCAGGGATTTCCGGAATACGCGGGAGGCGGTGGATAAGGCTGCGGCTGATAAGATGGTGGCGCAGGGGGATAGGTTGGTTGAGCAGGATAGACCGGTGGTTGAGTGGGATAGCTTGGTGGTTGAGTGGGATAGCTTGGTGGTTGAGTGGGATAGCTTGGTGGTTGAGGTGGATTAGTCACGGGCGTTGGAGGTGAACTTGGCGGTTGAGGGGGTCTAGTAGGTGGTTGAGGAGGTCTAGTCGGTGGTTGAGAAGGCCTAGTGGGTGGTTGGGGAGGCCTAGTCGGTGGTTGAGGAGGCCTAGTGGGTGGTTGAGGGGGTCTAGTGGGTAACTGAGAGGGATTAGCAGGCTGTAGAGTAGGAGATGGTTGCGAAGGTGACTCCGGAGATTCAGTCGACGGCTGCTTTGGCGGTGGATTTGGCGTGGCTGCGCCTTTGCAGTCCACATTATAAGTATAGTCGCAAACGTTTAGTAGCTGAAAGATAAAGTCTGAAATTATGATACATTGCTAATTTTCCTTGACTAAGATAGAACAGCTATGGAAATTGATACACTAATTTTATAAATATTTTTGTAAAATATCTTATATAAATTGGATTTATATGAACGAAAGATTAAGTATATAGAATCTATGTCGACATTTCGCAATAAAATATTTTTTTAAAATTAATACAGAAAAAAAAATACAAAGAATGTAGAAATAAAATATAGAAGTGTTGGATCTTACTTTAGAATTTTCGTATTTTTAGCATCTTTCGAAAATTGTATAAATTCTTCGAAAATAATAACATTAAAATAAATATTTGAGCAGTTCTTAATGTTGAAATATTTATAAGATCTGAATCAAATTTAACTTGTTTTTTTCTAGCGTGGGATTATTTTGCATTTCCTTAACTTTTCGCCCGCTAAATCTATCTTAAGTGGCACCGTGCACGTCATGATGTTATTTTCAACGACGATTTAAAATTCTACAAGCATTTGCGTTTTTTTAAAATAAATTCTTACATCACTGTAGACTAGGCCGCGAGGACAGCCGAATTTGATGGGTTTGCCTCCGACACATATGTAGAATTCCGAGCAGTTGGTCGAGCTTCTGTAACGTCCATTCGGGTCCGGGCACTGTTTCGATCCTGTCGCTAGTGCTGGTTCTACCAAGCAACAAAATTATTATTTTTTTTACTTCTTCGATCTTTATAATTATATTTTTATGGCATTTGGAAAATATAACGTTTCAATACAACTTTTGCAAGAATAATCAAAAATATTTAAAAGTTTGATACATCTACGTTAACTGTTATCGTTTTTCCCCCGAATATAAATTCACTTTGAGAATCACTGACTTAAAACGAACGCCGCGATTAGAAGGCAATCGAATTGGCCATCGTGATTACCATCGCGAAGCGTGAACGGGCGATTCGCGTCGCGTAATTATCGATCGCACTCACTTGGCGTGGGGGGCGCCCGATTGCCGCAGTTGACGTTGGACGCGAAATCGCAGTAACCGGTGATGGCGTTGAAGAGCAGCCCTGCCGGGCAGGTCTGCTCGATCACCACATCATCCCAGCAGTTCAGATAATTGGCGCAACTAGCGGGGCTCTCATACTGGCCCCTCTGGCCCAGGCAGCCCGGCGGAGGTCTGGGTGGCGGCGGTTTCGACGGTGGCGGCGAAATGGGACTCGGAAGCTCGTTTGTGTCGCCCGGATTGCTCGGAAGACCCGGGTATTGCCTGCCGCTGCTGAAAATGTTCTCATCGTGGTTATTTTCCGATGCGTTGTTGCGATTCTTCCAGATCTCCGAACGCGAATCCAGCCTCTGAATGTCGAAATTGTCCCACAGAGTCTCTAGTTCTGAAATTTGATTTATGCATGTTTTTCGACGCGCGAGACATTTATCATCGTCGACAATAACGATTTATTAGGATGATATGATTTTATTATTAAGATCTAGTTAATTATATTAGCTCGTACGCAATTGAAATTAGGAATTAAACGTTAGTAAAAGTGGATATTTGCATAATATTTTTATATCTTCAGTTTTATTGACGTGGAATATTGATTTTCTTAAAATTATAGCACATATAGCTTTGATAAAAGAGTAATCTCAAAGCTATTGTGAATATTAAATTTATATATAAGCAAATATATATAATTTGGAGAAATTATAAAACTTTAAAATAAATCAATATTAAAACACGGAAGATATTTAAAAAAATATTACTCAAAAATTAAAGCATTGTTTAGATGTTTGACACGTTTTTATACCAAGAAAATTAACATTAATGTAATACTTCTCGTAACGTTACGTTATCGTTGCGTTACACAGAAATTTTTCACGAAACTCACGATTCTAAAGTTGTTAAACACTGACCTTCGGGCTGTTCGGCGAACGAGAGTTGCCTACCAACAAACGATGCCGGCGTCGTCTTCGGCGCTTCTGCCGTCGTTGATCTGACCCTTCTTCTTGCAGCGTCAGCGAGTCCTAGAACAAGGATCACAAAAACCAATGTCACGTTCACCCTCATCTTCCTCTCGGTGTTTTCTTCGTTTTCCTCGTCGTTTTCTTGCTTGTCGAGAAGGGTCGACGCCCTTCACCAGGACGAAAAAGTTCTTCTTTCTCAAAGATGTCTTTCTCGCGAATAATCCGGAAGAACGATAATCGACACCGACAATCGACAGTGAGAATCCTGACGCGCAGTGTTCTTGATGCTGGATGGGCTGGACCTGGTCGCTTCCAGGGCCTTACATAGGGCGGCCCCCACCGCCACTCCCTGTAGGGATCGCAGGACCTCAATTACGCGCGTTCCGCCGCGTAGGACCCTCTTCTTGTTGCGCAGGAAGTGCTCGCGACCGTTGCTTTCGCACCGATTCGTTCCTCCTCCTCTTTGCGCCTTCCTCCTCCTACTTCTTTTTCGAGGACTCGAGGACTTCTCATTGGATGAGATTTAGGATGCACCTAAAGGATGCATGCACGCTCGTGGTGATCATTCGTCCTGTCCTGCTGTTTTTTTCTTCGCCGGTTTTCGAGAGGTTTAGGCGCTGTATATTGTTACCGGGCGAATTTAGAACCCTTTAACCCTTTCAGATCGGATGTTCAATTTATTAAACACGTGTTCCAAAGATTCAAGATTTTAAGATCTTTGCTCGGGATTGATATTGCTCTGTTAAATTCAATAAGGATAAAGACAGCTCAGTGAATTGTCGAAACTGTTTTTCAACTGTCATTACTTCGTGGAAAATAAGGAAGGCGCAAACATCGAGCGAAATCTCAAAGATATTTTTGAAGCCTCTTGTTGTGATTTCAATTATTGCAAACAGATCAATTCGTTTTATTTATGAGCATATTTTTACGATGCTTTATCAGCTGCAATTAATTTTAGCTCTTATTCATATTTATATGTAGTATCTTTTTCTTTTTGAATATCTTATTGTTAGCAAATTTTTTTGATATTTTATTGTGTTGTAATTTATTAGTTTGCAAGGTTGTTCATTTATTTTCCGAATGGTTGAATAATATGAAGTTGTCGAGCCGCGTAAAAAATCGTTGGCGCGCGTACGCGATTTTTATTCACGGTCACGGTATCGGCAATTTGAACGTCTACGGGGCTTCCTGTGGCCAAAAGTCGCATCAAAGTGCGATATAGGAACGAGAGGAAAAAAATTCCACACCTGCGAGAGGAGGGTGGACGGGAAGGTAGAGGGAAAGAGGGCTATCGGTATGCAAAGGTGGACGCACTCTCAAGAAGACTTGTTACGCACTCGTTACTCGAAAGTGTTCCGCGAGTGGTCCTGCGTTGGATGCTGCGCGAGAGCGCGGCATGTAGGAGGCTCCATCCTCCACGGAGGGCTCATCGTCCTTTTTATTATCCGCTCGGATAAGCGATTCGGCGATCTCGGCAATAAGGAAGAAATCCGGTCGATGCGAACGATGGGCAAAGAAAAAAAAGAGGGAAAAAACGATCGCGTCCACGTAATCCTGGAATCCGGCGAGTCGTCGGTTCTCTTGCCTTCGAATCTCGCGTAATCCTGAGTCACACGCAATGACCTCGCCGTTGCGTTTTTCAATGTGTCCCAGGTGATGTCGTCGGCGAAATCCGAGGACACGCGTAATCGTGCATGTCTTTTTTGTATATTTGATGTTGAGACTTTTTCGGGATGTGAAAAGGAACAAGTGTCTCTCAGGATTTTAGTTAGATACTAATGGAATCTTAATCTTATTCGTGGATGTGTGAAATGCTAATTTGAGTGGAATATTATTTTATTTGAAGTAGGATAAAAAATATATATATTTTTATATAATTTTATATTTAAAAAGAATAAAATCTTTTTTATTGATTCGCGAATAATTAAAAATATTGATTTTTAAGGACTCAATTTTTTATTTGATGTTAATTGAATTTTAATTACAATGCTTGTAAATAGAATAATAATTTAATTAACTTTGGAACAGAATATTAATTTAACTTAAAATTAAATTTGATTTTTATAAATTATTTTATAATGATTGCAAAATTATATTAATAATGATTTATTAATGCTTAGTTTTACAAGACATTTAGACGTATTTAATGTACATGTTGTGTATATAATGCAATTTCTAAATTAAATATATCTAAATGAATAAAACATAAAATTTTCGCACAGTTTCTCACAATACCTGCAAATAAAGATATACGATCTCAAAGTCACGATTAAAGTCACGAAAGTGACAAGCGGGATAATTCCTGTCTAATCCAAACAGTTGATATTTACCTATATCGCGCGTTCGACGAAGCGACCACTTCTTGGGTTTTGCCGCCGTAGTCGTTTCCATCGTTCGTGTCCGGCATAGTTTTTGTCGTTGTTTTAACTTGGGCGTCGGCTCTCGCTTAGACCTTAGACCGCAAACCGAGAAACTACAGGGGGATCTAGGATGGAATGCCAAGGAAAGAGAAATGAGATTGGAACCCCGCCTGCTAGTGAGAAAAGATAGGGTTAATCCTTAACAAGACCATCGTACAAAATGCAATTAATAAGAAACGAATTATAAATTGCAAAGATGTACAAAATTTTAACAAAATTACGATATCGATTAAAGTATGCGACTTTGGTTTTATATTTAGCAAATATAATTGCAACTTTATTTTTTAATGGTTATATTTTTACATTTAGATTAATTCATGACTTCAATTAAATTTGGTCAGAAAATATTGCAAATGTTGCAATATTTATCAGAGAATTTAATGTTTTTTTTTTATTGATTCGTATAAAATAAAAATTATTATACACATATATATTATTCAAATTAATATATTATTCATTTTATTTTTATATAATAATGAGCTAAAATGTTTAATCGCATTTGAACATTATGAAAACGAAACATTATTTTATACGAATATTGTGAACATTAAATTAGAATGCCAAATTAAGAACGCTTAAGTTCAATAAACTTGCAAATTATTTTCATCTTCGTCGAATGTTGTCGATACAATGTTTTTCGTGCTGAATCGAATGCTAAATCAAGCGCAATAAATTTCAAGTACCTACACAACACGTCACTTAGGTCCAAATACGAGGGCTATATCTTTGCGGAGGACATGCGTACACGCGCGAGTATCCCGGTGAGACTTCCTTTGCGTGCGTATCTCGGAGTATCGATAATTGAAAAGGATTTGACAAATTCTTCAGCTTCCTTAGATTAAGAGGTTTATTTACCAAAATTTTTATTAAAATTAAAACTGTTTATATATTATTATTTTATTAGTAAAAAATCTGATTTTTAGGATATTTGTTTATTTAAAAAATTTATTAAATTATTTACTTATAGAAAAAATTATATATATAGAAAATATAAATTGATTTTTGGCTATCAGAAATATTTAATGTTAAAACAAAGTTGCGAGAAGTTTCTAGATGAGATACAGATTCTTGATGTTGAGCACAGCAGGAAACTAAATTTAAACTCCCTGGAAATAAAATAATTTTATGACTGCATAAGAATGCAGAATCTGGTGTGAACGAGCTGGTCTAGACGTTGTCGAGGACATTGACACTTCTCCATCTACTATAAGTTGAATTTTCATAATGTTCAAGTGCGATTAAACATTTTAGCTCATTATTATATAAATAAAATGAGTAATATATTAATTTGAATAATATATATATGCATATATATAATAGTTTTTATTTTATACGAATATATTTTATATTAATTTCGGCCTCAAATTCTTTTCAAATACAAAACATTTCTTATTTGTTGGCTTTAATAAATTTAAACAAGAAATAATATACTTCCAAAAACTTATATACGTCGGTATACTTATTTAGGAAAGAAATAGATTTTTGTCTCCTTTCTATATAGTTTTGCTGAAGATTTCAAACATTGAAGTGGACTAAAGCTTTGTTGCGTGTGCACTGTATGCGTTTTAAGCTATTTTGCTTGCGCAATGGAACTCGAAAAACAGGTTTGGGAAACGTTGTGTATATTGAAACAGGAACCATGTGAAGTGTCGTTAAAAATGCAGGCGTCGCGCCTTGATACCGCAATACTCATTCGAATTCATTTCGGGTGCATCGGAACAGATTGAAGTGCGCGCGCTGCGAGAGCGTGCGGCTGACATAGGTGGTCTGTTACTACTCTTATGCGTTCATAATTCAGCACGCTGGATGATAAAGTGTGGCCCGAAGGGTTACAAGCACTTAGCGCAATCGCTCGGCGATAATTACTTTAAACGACGGTATTGCATATCGAAGTAAGACGCGCGCTGGGCGAACCTTCTCAATTGCACTGAATTATTTTCGCGATTTTTTATGGACTTCTTTACGGCAATTCCGATAATGAGGAATAAAAGTCTTATGCAATTATCGCAATTTATTACTTCATTGTAAATTGCATCGATAAACATGCGTTCAAGAAAACTTTATGAAATAAAATTTACGTTCTTTCTTATATAATTTATAAAATTTATGAAAATAGTTAAAACGTATAAAATTGCGATACTTTTTCAGTTTGTTTCGACTAATAAATAAATTTTTTTAAAGCCAGTTTAAAATATAAGAGATAATGGATGAAGGATTGAGAGAACAGTTTCCAGGGAACGAAATGAGAGAAAAACGGAGATAACCTGGAAAGGTCGTTTATTCTTTCCCGCGTTCGCAACCAGTTTTTCGTGACTAATGTCGGGGCAGAATGACTTCAAAATTCGTCCGCGGCCCGAAGCAGGTACTGAATTTGCATAAATAACACGCGTGGTCACAAAGACTGCAGGTTCTCTAATAAATATGGTCCGCAAGAGAGATTTGAGTGATAAATTTGTATAGTTGTCGTTACTTTGTGCAAAACACATACAGAGTGGCTCAAAAGTCATTAATCTGTACACAATTTATTTTTGTAACTTGTATATTATTAGTTATTATTATTAGGGAAGTTATTTTTGTTATTTATTAAATTTTTATGTGATTTTATTTTGTAAAATACATAAATTATGATAATTTTTAAATCACGAAGTAATTTTTTATTTAATTGTAAATGTATAATTTATTT